GAAATTGTTCAAGAAGGGTCCAGTATATAAAAATTGATAAAAGTATCACATAATCAAAAAAAAAAAAAAAAAAAAAAAAGGAAAGAAAGAGTAAGCACAATCTGCGTTGTCTCTGAACTAGTCGGCTCTAATGGCGATCCAATGGATTGGCTTAGAGAAGTGAAATTTATTACTGTCATTTCAGCAGACTGCAAGTCAGCCGCCAGCACCCTGGTCCAGAGACCCGAGGATGACTATTCTGGATCCGTCCTAAACCCGAGCTGAGTGATGGTATAGATACATAAATACGAACAGAAGATAGAACTTGTGCTGTCAATCATATGCATCATATTAATACTAAGATCTTTCAAAATCATACAATCGCCATGCAGCTGCCGATTCAAGGCGAAGTCTACTTCACCCTCCAGCAACACAGCGAATCGATATCCTCAGTCATCGTCGCCAACGGCACCGTGATAGCCCGCGGCCCAAGTCTCCAAGAACGCCCTCCAGAGAACTGGATCAGTGCTCTGCGGGAAATGTCCGAGCGGTTGGGGAGGGATAAAGATGACGGTATTCCCAAGGGTTATTCGACAGAAGCTTCACCGACGACATTCGGATCCTCACCAAGACAATCCCCCACTTCCAGTGAACTGTTTACATCGCCGACGCCGTCATTGACGAAATCGGATTTGGGGTTGAAGCGGATGAAGAAATTGCAGGACTTGCTGGCGGCGCTTTTCAACCACCCGATCTCCAGTGTGGAGGATCATAACCAGCAAGTGGAGGGGTTGTACAGCGGGTCGCGGATTACCACTTGTCCTAATGTTTCCATTATGCAGTTTGCAGAGGTCCTTGGGCGGCTAGGGAATGTCTCGAATACAGTGGGGAATGTGTACGGGTTACTTAGTTGGCAGATCTTCAAGATGGAAGAAGACCGGTTGGTACATGATGAGGGTTTGTCTCCGAATTTCGCTGCAAAGCAGGTGACTGCCTCCTCAATCTCATGTCTACGACGCACCCTGCTAACGTCCAGATAGATGAACAAGAAAATGGCCGAAGTGCTTAAGCGTCGAGGCAAGGCCAAAGACTGGGCTAGTGATGCACGACGTGCAGTCACGATGGTGTTTGGGCCGTTACGCAATACCAGTATCTGCGTCAGATCGTTTGCGCTGATCCTTCTTGCAAGTCAGTCCTCCTTAACTTTCACGCTACATATCTCGTGCGTAACCGACTAACTACTTACAGGTCTCTGCAGTCTAGACGGCTTACTGAAGATCGCCCACTTCCCTACCCTCCGGCGGTACTTTGAAGAGCAATTCTCGAGGATCGTCGAGTCCCAAGCACCGGAGTGGGAGCTGCTTGAAGAAAGTGGCTACAAAGTGTTTGATTATAAGGAGTTTTTGCGGCAGCGAGGACCGCCGTTACCCTTGTCAGTACTTTTCTTTTCTTTTCTTCATCATACGACGCTAACGTGCGCTACTGATAGAAACGACCAATCACATAATCTCCCGCTTGATCGACTGCTAGAATGGCGAGCCCAGGTGTCGATGTCCCCGGCGGAGCGCCTTTTCGCGAATTCCGTGGAAACGGGGTCGGCATCTACGGCCCGACCTTCGGGCATGGTAAATCATACTGGTAATATGCCACCACAACCACAGCTGCAGCTCCCCGGGACCAGTCCGGAAGCGTCTACTATGGATTATCTGTTTCAGAATCTCACGAATTGTGATGAGATGGTGAATTTGGAATTGGTTATTTAGCTAGTTTTCTTTGGTTTTTTGGGTGGTTATTTCATATTTGTCAGGTGTTAGGACAGAATTACGGCAGGTTTTAGATAATAGATCTGGATAATGGACCATGATTTAATGGATGAGAAGGTTCCCGAATATCAAGCAGTAGAATCATGCAGCCGTGACTCGAGCCAGTCAATATATTGGCAAATGTACGACTTCAGACTACATACGGAGCAGAGCCAACCATGCATGCAGAGCAATAGTCTTCAGATAACGAGACCACTAGTCTCTCTGATTGGATACCATTGAATATACTTCTATCGCGCCCCTCAGCTGCCGGACTTGCCGTAGCTGAACTGGCAATGACTGGTAAACATTACGGTCACGGGCCAGTTAGTTGCATTTGCTTTTGATGCACCTTGCTATTCGCTCGGTTAGCTCAAAAAATGAGACCTATCATAAATACGAGCGTGTATCGATATCGGTACCCTGTCATGTTTCTTTGCTTGAGACTACTCCCCACCCATCCTCTCGGCCTCGCATCCAACAAACCAGCAATACATACATGCAACGATGGCCGAAAGCACGACCCAACGAGCGCCCTACGCCCCCAAAGTCCAACTAAGCTGTGAGATGTGTCGCCAGCGCAAGGTGAAATGCGACAAGCTAAGCCCGTGCACGAACTGCCAACGGCTCGGGGCGGTTTGTATCCCCGTGGAACGAGCACGTCTGCCACGGGGCCGCTTCCGAAAGGCGAAGGTCATAGATCAAGTCACCGAGAGTGACGCCGCTGATGCTACTGATGAGTTGAAGGGAAGGATGGAGAGGTTGGAGGGGCTGGTTTGTACGCTGATGCAGGATAACGGGGTTGTGGCCAATACTATCGTGCCAGCGATGGCTGATGCGGGAATCCTGCCGAGTCCCTGCGATACCGAGTTCCAGAGTGATTTACCTTCGCCTGTGGGTAACGACGTTCGAGGTGGAGGTGGAGGTGTGGTTGTTCAGAAGGGCAGTTCTTATTTGGGGAATTCGTTTTGGGAGGGCTTGATGCATGTACAAGTAAGTGTTACCTGTCACGACTTTATGCGGCTTTGACCTTAACGTTGGGATAAGAACTGTTCTTTGCGCAACGTCACGGACCAGCGTCAGGATGGTGCGACGTTCGCGCCTTATGATGTTCTTGTCCGTGGATTGACAGGCAGCCCTTTATGTTTCCCTAAAGAACCATGGGCAACTCCGCAGCTTCAGCAGCATCTGTGTCATGTCTTTTTGACACAAGTCGACCCGGTATTCAAGATTCTACATCAACCGTCCCTCCGTGCATTCCTCTTAGAAGGGAAACCATATCTCCACTACGATGCTCGTCACCCAGCTCCAGAGGCCCTTCGATGCGCCGTCTACTACACAGCAGCCTGCAGCATCACCGAAAATCAGTGGCCCCCTGCTCTGGGAGCCAGCAGAGCATCGGTAATTGCCAGATACCAAAGAGAAACAGAAGCAGCCCTAGTGCGGGCTGAATTCGTCACATCAGACGACTTGACTGTTTTACAAGCATTCGTACTTTCGTTAATCGGAGCTCGCTTGCAGGACCGCAGCAGACGAGCATGGACAATGCTCAGCATGGCTGTTCGTGTAGCACAGGCGCTCTCACTGAATGTGCCGGACCCACCATTTCTGATAACGCCGTTTGAGCAGGAAATGCGGAGGCGGCTGTGGGGTGCTATTGGATTGCTGGATGTCCAGGCGTCGCTGGACCGGGCGTCCGAGCCGATGATTTTACGGAGTTGGTTGGAGTCGCATGCGCCGGCGAATCTCAGTGATGATGATATTCTGTTTGGGCACGAGATCGCCCCGACGGAATCCGGTGGTTTCACAGACACTACTTTTACCTTGGTGATATCCAAGGCACAATGCTCTGTACGTTCACTCACGGAGCCGGGGTCACAGTACATGCATATACGGCAGGTATGCGTCGCCGATTTCCAGCAGACAGCATCGCAACTGCTTCGTAATTGCCAGCCAGATGCAGTGCCTTTTCACTGGTACACCTATCAAGTCGCAGACTACATCGCCGCCTCCATGCAGCTCATCGCCCTACGACCACTCCAGCGCACGCCCGACTTCATGCCTCCTCATGTCCCTGGATCCAATCTCCTCAGACTATCCGTGGATATTCTGCAGAAGACGGAGACACTACACCGCGATCCCCGCGGGCATCCATGGCGCTGGTTCGAGGGTATCTTTGTCCCCTGGCATGCGCTGGCGGTCGCGATCGCGGAACTGTGTGGATGCGAAGATGCAGCGCTGATAGAACGATATTGGGATACCGTGGAAGGCGCATTTGAGCGATTCGGGGGATTGGTCGCGGACGAGAAAGAGGGTATGCTGTGGAAGCCGATGGAGAGGTTGATGGAGAGAGCGCGCGCTAAGAGAGAGAGCTTAAGAGCAGTCTTTACTCCTGAGTCTGCATCTGCGCAATTGCAACCACCGTTCCTGCCGGTGATGACCCCGGATCAAGGCCAGAATCAAAGAGGGATGGGGCCGGTTGTAACCCCGTCTAGTAGTACGGGTAGCATTGGGATTGAACCGTGGACAAATGTGCCGAATGTATGGGATGGAGTAGACTTGGGGGATGTTGGTATTGATCAATTGTCGTGGACTAATTATGAGGATTTTATGGAGGATATGCAGCGATGATTTGATTTTACAAATAGAATGAATCTTTGGGTGCCGACGACGCCAAAAACGGCAGCTCATGAGGCCGTTTCTGGCGTCGTTGGCACCAGGAACTTCGCCTAAACGGGTAAGGCGCTCATGCCGCTTTAGACTGGCGACGGTGCGGCACCGGACACGTATTGGTATTACTGTTTTTTTACCCTCAGCCAGCGGGCTCTGTCCCACCTAGGATCCCTGCCTTGCTGAGCCCACATCCTCAGCACGACCCGCTGAGGATGGTAACTGGAGGGTGGAGTCCACCGAGAGAGGTTCTTTTCCCTTACAGCGCAGAGAACGAGGCAAAGGAAAAAAAGATAAATAGTGCCATGAACCGCTGCTTTCCTTCCACTACCATGACAGCATCCTATCCATCCCCTGTATCCCTTTAACGGCCCTCTTTACACAATGGCATACTTGGGACTCCCTTGGAGAAAGTATGCATAGCAGGAGGACCTTGAAGAGACTTTACTTTATGCAAAACCGCCATGAAATGGAGACCAGAATGCAGGGAGATTGCCTCAACGTGAGTGATTCATTCTTGGATGAGGCTGCTTCGACTCTTTGCTAATATAGGAAGCAGTACATGAATGTTGTGAGCAAGCGGATGGGCTTGCATAGGCATCCACTTCCCAAGCTGACGGCAGCCTTGGATGATCTCTTGCATTTTCTCGTTATGCACATGGTTCACTGCGATTCCATATTCACTGATGAGAAGCAGCAACTCTATGTACTTGCAGGACTCAATTTGTTGAGTGTTTCCACTTGTCGGGCAGTGTCATTATTTGATACAAGACATCCTGTTGACTTCCAAGCAGATGGTCGTCCGCTCCAGCACTCTGAAGTGGAGCGACGCAATGATAGTATAGAGTCTCAGAATTTACCTGATAACCCCAGGAACCAAGAAGCCGCGGGTGATTCCAGTTATGAGATGGGTATAGAAAGTTATCTAAGTGAACTGGAAGAAGCTGACCTGGGTGATCCTTCAAATGACGAATTTGGTTCAGAGACAGAGAGCAACACTGACTGCAATTCAGACACTTCCAGCGTCACAAATGATGGCTATCTTGAGGGTAATGAGACTTGCACCATACTTTGGAGGCACGTTGAATTCTATATTGTCCGCAATCCGCTACCTGACGGTCGCAACATACTAGCCGCCATTGTGACTCTTCTCCACATGAAAGGGGAGGACCGGAAGCCAAGGATGTAAGTCAAGTCTTTCTGAAAAGTTGCCTGTCGGCTGTTTACTCACAAACACAGCAAGAGATTTGTGGTTGAACATGAAGATAATCCAATATTTGACTTACTGTCCCAACTGTTGTCATTGGCAATTGATGACGGCATCTTCATTGCGATGATCAAAGACGAGGCAGACATCTACACCGTGCCAATTCCATCACACTGCAGAGGCATTCAGATGAAAATCAAGAAAGAGAAGCTGGATATTCCAATATTCCGTGAACCTGAACACACTGCAGAAGGTTACCGAACATCTGACACCCAGCCACTGAAGTCGCGGACGTGGAGTCGCATTATCAAACGAATTGGGATTGCCTGAACTGGTCGACATCTAGTTATATCTAAAGAAGATTTGACATTAGTTGTCTCCACCTTCCAGGTGGTTCCAGACGGATCACCAACTACGCCGTGTTCCTGGCACAATGGTTCAACAAATCAGTAGACCGTCCTAAGCTCTGTGTCTGTGAGGCTAACTGTGCCGCAGTCACTGTGGGCGGCTCAGATTGAATGCTATCACGACAACCAGCGCAAGGTGAATGACTCTTGAGGTCAGTGCATAGATCCTGTGGAATATGTGTACAGAAGCACTAAACTAATCAATTTCATTACATCGGTCCACTTCATCAGCAAATCAATGGATATTAATCCTTCTCTGCTCGTCCGCACATTTGCCTCACTTGTGCCCAGTTCTACTTTGTCTGCTGATGCCAACACTCCTATCCCCAGCATGTTTCGCTGCTGCTTGAGGGCATGCATGTCAAAATTTAGATGGTAAATAATAGACTGGCTACAGCTAATGTAGTCTATTCGACCCTAGAGTGGGCTTTGTGATTCTTTGATAATAATTCACTAAATTAGATTACAGCCTCTATCAACTTATGTTCCAAAGCGCCAGTCGTCGTAAAAAGAAAAATAATGAATCCCATGTGAAGAAACTCTGATTCACAACACCTCAAGAACAGATCTTCTCAAAAGAATGCTCCAATAATGTACAGTTATCATTAACAGATAGTATGAGGTCATTTTGGCTGACGTGCCTCTGCCCTGCATGAAACCATCCGCTTTCTCTTCAGTCGACGGTCCAATCCAGCCCAATGAAAATCAATAATCAGGACCCGCCGCAGCTCGGCGTTCCATAGAATATTATCCGGTCGAAGGTCCTCATGCAAAACTCTGAGAGAGTGGATCTTCTTTACAGATTTCGAGATCTCACGATTCAACTCTTCCTTATTGAATTCTGGACAAGAAGGCATATTCTCGATGCTGCTGTTAGGATCCCCACCCCACCCCATAAGTAGCATATGCCGAATTGCCCCAGCCCCATGGAGGAGGTAGGTCTTCTCCAGGTCAATTGCTCCTAGGAAAACAGGAACTGCAGAACCCTGAGCCTGCTGCAAGAAACAATATACCTCAGCTTCGCGCAAGAGCTCCCGCCACCGGCAGGAGGTCATGCCTTTTCCAACAACAGTGTACCCATATGCAGCACAAGTGACCTTGAACGGCGCTCCTGATGCTCCACAGCCTCCCATTGGCATACAGTTCCGGTCGATATTGTCATCCAGCTGTTCCTTCACATGCTGCACCAAAGTTGTGAAATCAATGGCGTGCAGCCTACCGTCTCCGCCTTGTTTATGGAGATCCACATTCGGGCAGGCGTCATCGAGCAGATCACGCTGTTGCAGGCCAAGTAGACACCGCTGGGTACAAAAGCGTGCATTATGCTGCCCATATCGACTGTCTGACTGAAATATATCGTGAACCTGCCCGGCGTACCGCTTGATGGACCGGCGATGAACTAACCTCGCTAAAATGAGGTCTTGCTTTTCCGGCCGCTCTTCATTAATGGTATTCGCCCTTTCGACTCCCTTATCAAAGGAAAGGTATTGACTCGAGGCTTGACAGACTCCCAAGGCTGATTACAGCTTACAATTGACCCCATTCATTGCCCCTTTCTGCAGGCGCCCGTCCTGCGTCGCACTTCTGCCCTAACCACGCCGATCCCATGTGCCGCATATGCAGTTGGAACGCCCAGATGACAACAATTCAGCATCCAGGAGAAACAAATCCAATGGCATAAACACCTCACCTGTGGTTTTATTGGTTATTTTCACCACAAACACCAGTCACATTCCCGCGGAGGTGGTTTTGTAAAGTCTGGAACCAAACCTCACTGCCAAGTGATGAATGATTGGAGCTCTGTTGTCAAATTTCTGGTCTGCTGCGCCCAATGACACGCTACTGTGGAAAGGACAATGCTACAAGAACAATCATTCACTGATGCAGAAGTTCTTGGCAAATGACACTATGCTCTTGTGCTCTCATGACCATAACATTGATTTCACACCTTGCTTTGAGCAATACGGGCAATGTTTGGTTAATCCTGCCATTGACTGGGCATAGTGACTGTAGGACGACCATGCTGTAGTGGATTTTGGCATCAAAGTATAGTTTATTGTCTCACATCCATTTATGCTGTCCTGTCTTTACAAAAGCAGCATCACCGCCTGGGGGCAGATTGAGAATTCAAAATCAGTGTAGTATTGTTGGAAATTGTCACATTTGTACTTTCAGCGAGATGAATCTCAGGGTGTAACGCGTTCTGCATGGCGTATTTACGAGGCGTCTTGAGCAGCACTGATGGGTTAGCCACGCCAATCATATGTCGACAACTGCAGGAAATGCTTGATGCCTAAGGCATAAAGCGTCCGTGCTAGCTGGATTAGTAATCGAGCATGAACTGGTGCTCGGATGCCACATCGCGACTCCTGTCATGTGTTGTGTCATGCATGGTGTCCTAACAGCGGGTCATCCACTAGCTATTTGAAGACAGATTTACCGCTAGTTATGGAGGACGATATTGCTGAATTACGACGTCAACTGGAGGAAGAGAGACGGGCAAGGGAAGAATAGACTATGTTGCAACAAATGTCCAAGACTGACTGATTTACTCAGAAGCGACTTTATGAAATTTCGAGCGAGACACTGTGGATAACTTTGTTGAAAAGATTGTTGAGGCATTATGAGGCGATGAAACTTTGCAACAGGAGTTCAGTATTGAGGGCTGAGTGGCCTTTTATGACCGCGCGAACTCAACCTCACTGGATGACAGTCTGGAGATGCATCTTGATGACGCACCCCATCAACCAACAAACACCAACCGCGGGAGAGGTAGAAGAAAAGAGAAGGGGAAACAATTGAGTCAAAGTCAGACAAGGGCTCGCTCAGGAAGGCGGCGCAATCGCCGTGCTGATCAATTCTGTGTTCATGTCGTGGCTGACGAGCGCCAGATACCAGTATATGCAGTGGAGTTTAAAGCCCCTCATAAGCTTACGGTCGCAGAGCTAGTCGCAGGCTTGCATGAGATGGACCTGGCCCGCGATGTTATTGATCAGGAAGGAGACACGCCTGAGTTTCATACCACCTGCCTTGTTGCCGCTGTTGTCACTCAGATATTCTCATACATGCATGACTTGGGGATACAGAATGGGTGTATTTGGACAGGGGAGGCATTTGTCTTTCTACATATTCCAGAGGATCCCACAATAGTTCAATACTACTTGTGTTTCCCAAATCAAGACATGCAGGCAGGTGATGAGAGCCGTCTCCACCAAACTGCTGTGGGCCAGATGCTTGCATTCACACTCCAAGCGCTGGCCGCTGAAGCTCCATCCCAAGAGTGGCACAATACCGCACATCAACAGCTCTTGACCTGGAAAGTCAAATACTTGGACATCTTGCGCGATATTCCTGAAACAATTCACAAGGAGCCGCCGCCCTCAAATTATTGGCCTTCACACTGGAAACGGAATCCAAAGACACACAATACATGTTCCCACGCTCGCTGTAATCCAGGTGTATCTACCCCGGCAGGCTTGCCAAGTGAAAGCAGTGATAGTGATGAGGATATGCCTTCACTGTCCACTGCACCAGCCGTGCGCAGTTGATTGAGTCACAGGAAAGGTAAACATTTATCAACTGGCGGACATGAACGGGCACAACCCTACTGAAGAACAAAGCAAACTCCTTCTCAAAAGGTGTAGAGACCGTACTGCACCATGGCTTGTATCCATGGTATGGTCAACGGGGGTCCTCTGGATAAAAAGTGCCCTAACTGGCAACGTCACAGCGGTCAGAGGCATCCAATGGGCCTGCAGGAGTTCACATGCAAGCTGCACCATCAACTTGTCCAGAATTGAAATAAGGGTTTTGAGCCGCTACACATCCGTGGTCGGATGGGGTATCTCATGAAAGCGACTCTATTGTCTCATGGGTATACTGTAGTCATCAAGGCTACAACGAAGGAAAATCAGCATGCCCTTAAAACAGAAGTCGACAATTATCGCAAGCTCTGAAGCTTGCAAGGATATCAGATCCCAGTCTGTTTAGGCGACTTTGAGCCAAGCATCGCATACTGGTACCACAGTCAGGTAATGACGCATATGATGATCCTGAGCTGGTCTGGAACTAGGCTTCAGCGGATAATCAAAGACGAAAATTTGGATTTCTTCCACAAAGAGCGAGACAAAGCTCTGAAGTCCCTCCAGAAGTATGGTGTTGAACACAAAGACAAAGAGTGGCGTAATATGCTGTGGGATGAACAGACCCGTAGTTTGGTTGTCGTTGACTTGGAGGACGTGGAATGGCTTAAGCGGCCTCGGCCTTTCCAATCAACATCTGGCAATTCATTGGGTCGTCGTATCGTCCGAAGGCGCCTATCTAGTCGAGCTGCTGTCTGTACATCATGATGGCACTGGAAACGGCCGCCGTTTATCACTGTCCCGGTCTTATTTCCTGCGCGCCTTGTTGACTTCGGATTGTTGTGTCTTCTGTTCTGGGGAAAACCACCGTTCGGAGGAAGATGATGGTTTGGCTTTCGGCGTGATCGGCCATTTGTTGAGTCATCCAATTAATACGCTAACTAACGTGGTCGGTAAGCGAGCGACGCATGTAAGCGAGCGACGCACCTGACCACACCACCTAAATTGGAATCGATTTTATTAACCACCAACGCCATTAAATTCATCCAGCTATCTACTAGGACATTGGTTAATCTTATGCCCTACATTCCCACATAGACTACACGTTGGTGGCCGGCGCGCTGGCCGCTGGCTAGGCGAAATAGCCGGCGCAGCCGCTGCCATCTGAGTGACTATCTCAACTTCGGAAGGCTGGTTTAGGCCCCGAATCACCTGCTGAGCGTCTTCCATTGATAGACTGCCCTGGTGAGTGATCTGTCTCTTAGATCTAGCTCGCTTTTGCTTCTTTTTCTCATTCGCCGCGCGTAGATCCTTGTTTTCCTGCGCTAGTATTGCACCGGCCTGCATAGCTAGCTGGGAACCCTTGATCAGCTTGTTTAGTGCCCTGCCTGGGGGGCTATTGCTGTTTCGGTTGTATAGAGCTTTGATGGAAGATGCTTGT